CTTCTCTCTCTCTCTCTCTCTCGCTCTCTCTCTCTCTCTCTCTCTCTCTCTCTCTCTCTCTCTCTCTCTATTTTCTATCATCTATATTTATTTTTGTATTTTCTTACATCACATTAAATAGTTAAACATATACTGATATCTAAAATTAACAGTTAAAATAAAACACATTTTATTTAAATGTCAAACAAAATGATGAAAAGGAAGTACTCCCTTAAGTCTCGAATATGATCCACACTACACCAGAAGTGGCAATAGATAGCACTATTTAGATAGCGCTTAATTAATAAGTGCTGTGTTTTAAAACATGAAACGTTAAAAAAGCGCTTAATTAAATAAGCGCTATAATATAGTTTTATATAGAGAGCGCTTAATAAAAAAAATGCTATCTTTGTGTTATTTTATTTATAAAAAAAATATGTTATAGCGCTTTTATTAAAAAGTGCTTTCTAAAATTGGCAATAGATAACACTATTGAGATAGCGCTTAATTAATAAGTGCTGTGTTTTAAAACATGAAACGTTAAAAAAGTGCTTAATTAAATAAGTGCTATAATATAGTTTTATATAAAGAGCGCTTAATAAAAAAAATGCTATCTTTGTGTTATTTTATTTATAAAAAAATATGTTATAGCGCTTTTATTAAAAAGTGCTTTCTAAAAGTGGTAATAGATAACACTATTTAGTTAGCGCTTAATTAATAAGTGCTGTGTTTTAAAACATGAAACGTTAAAAAAACGCTTAATTAAATAAGAGCTATAATAAGGTTTTATATGAAGAGCACATAATAAAAAAATGCTATCTTTATATTATTTTATTTATAAAAAATAATGTTATAGTACTTTTCTAAAAAAGTGCTTTCTAAAAGAAAATAAATAGACAGCGCGTGTAAATATAAGCGCCATTTATAAAATTTTATGAATTGATTATTTTTTTAAAAAATTATTATGGCACTCATTGAAAAATAACATTTTAAAAAAATAATTGCAAAATACTTATTAAAAAAACGTTTTTTATTGATTTATAAAAAAATATGTTATAAAACTTTTCTAAAAAAGTGTTTTTTAAATAATATAAATAAACAGATTTATAAAATTTTATAAATTAACTATTTTTTTAAAAAAATTATTATGGCACTCAGTGAAAAATAATATAAATTAAATGACTCTATTGCACCAAAAGCAAAAAATGGAGGGAAAACTTGAAGCCAAAACGCGCGTTCATCTCTGCTATGCTCTTTACTCCAAAGTATGAAGTATCGCTCTCTTTCTTCTCCCATCATCGTACCAATTTTCCGCACCTTCACCGCAACATGATCTAGCAGTTCCACCATTAACTCTGCTAACGGGTTTCGCTCGCAAAATTTGGGGCAGTAGTGCTTATTCCGCTCTTTATTTTTTGCCCTTCGTTTTCAATTTTGCTTTTGTTTTCGTGGAATCTAGGGTTTTCTCAATCCAGGGGATCCATGCTAGGTTTTCGCAATATTCCTTATCCACGTGCTTAAGTTTGTTTTCTTTTTATTAATTTCTGCCCCTGCGTTGTATTTTAGGAACGGATCGTGAAACACCGAAACCTTAAGTCGAAGTTTGCCGCGTAGAAATGGAAGGTGCCTTTGACGATGAAGCTGAACCGACCGTTACTATCGGCGAGTAACGGGAACTGGTAAGTCATTTTTTACATTTCTGCTGTACTTTCATATCTTATTGGCCAAGAAAAAAGTCTTAGAATAAATATTATTTTAATTTTTTATATAATATTAATTATATTTTTGCTAGTATACTCCTGTTATTGTACTAATTTTTACAAAGTTTTCATTGCGTTATATCATTTTAACAAACATTTTTTTTTATAAAATTAGTATTCTTTTTTGACTAATTATTATTTTTTTAATATATCTAAATTAAGATAGCAAAACAAGGTTATTTCTCAAGCGTGTCAAAGTGAGAAGTCTTAATCTTATTGAGCGTTAAATTGACATAATTGCTCAGAAGAATTATACTTTCTAGTTTGTAGTATACACTTTGACTTGTACGAAAGAGTTTTTTTTTTTTTTTTTTTTAACTTTCAAGATTGTTATTATAAAATATTAAATAATATACACAATAGATTTATTATTGCAGAAGAAATGTTCCATGAGAGGTAGCAAAATCTCCGAAACGAAAATATTAAACTGACAAAATAATTTACATATTTTACAGGAACTTTTTCATTTTTTCGGTGACAAACTCTTTTTTTTATTATATTTTTTTTCTACCAGCATTGGTCGGTTTCCCACTTCCGGGTCCGGTTCAACCCGGAAGAGCCATTCGGACCCACCGAAGAAGATAACGACCCACCGCCACCGTGCGCGGCCATCAACGACAAATCATAGACCGCTCTCGCCGACGGATCCGATAGCGTTTCGTAAGCTTCGTGAATTTCAATGAAATCCCGTTCGTCGGATTCCGACCGCCGCACCGCCGAATCAGGGTGGTACACCTTCGCCAGGTTCCGGTACGCCGCCTTTATTTCCACCGACGATGCGTTGTGCTTGATGCGGAGCACCTCGTAGTGCCTCGCCGGTCGCCGGAAATCCACCGCCGACACCGTGATCGGAGGCCGGAGAGTGGCACCGGTGAGAGGCATGAGAATTGAGATATTTTGGAAGGGTATAATGGGAAATGAGAATTGTTGCGTTTGTTAATTTGTGTTGTGCAGTGCGTTGTTGAGTGGAAGCATGGTTTTATATAGCGGTCCAAAAATCTTGAGACAGAAGGGTATAACGGTCATTTAAGTAGCATGTGTCGGTTTTTGAAAGCCTTCTAGAAAACAAAAGAAAAAAAATAATATTTTTTTTCTGAAAAGTTTTCTTATTAGTATTTTATCGCACCGTGTTAAGGAAAATGAGATGCGTGTGGGGACGAGGAAAATAAATAAATAATTTTATAATTTTCATTAATTCATAACACTCATGAGAAACATTGTTAGAAAACTCAAGACTATTTACTAAACCAAAACAATCTTAATTACATTAATTGATAACACATGAGATTAGGAAAGATTGTAACACAACTTAATTTATATCACTCCTACACTTATATTTTTAATTATTTAAAAAATGATACAGTAACATCTTACATAATTATTTAATTTTCTATATATTTTTTTCATGTTCTTTGTTAGATCAAATACAGCATTAAACTAAAGTCATGAATTTTCCTGCACCAAAAAAAAAAAGTGATGAATTTGTAGCATAGAAATAAAAGGGAGAGAGGTGAAACACTCGAGTCAAGAAGACCAACCATGGACATAACATTTTGTCATTTACTGTGCCCACTTTCCCAATTATTATGGCACAAAGCAAATCACAATCAACGTGCTCAAATAAAACCCTGCCGCAACACATTCAAACCGTGTACGATAAGTTCTCAAAACTAACAACACCAAATATATGTACAACCTTTCATAATGATTGCGTTTTTGGATAAGGATAAAGGTAAAGAGAATTTATCTTTATTCTAACATAAATGTGCTGCAATATCATAAGCTATTCACTATATCAACGAGTTCAATGTGTTGTCTAATTCTATTTTCTCACATATCTTTCATTTTTAATAAATTTCAAAACATTTTCTCTCTCTAGAATTTGGTATAAATAATTCACAAAATAGTGTTTAATTTAATGTTTAAACACTAAATTGAGAAGTATAGAAAATTAAGCCACAAAAGGCTAGCTGATTTTAATTTGAATTTTGTTGGCTTAAGTTTGTGAAATTGTGTGATTACGAGGGTAAAAAGGAAAATAGCTTTTATATTTACAATTTGAATTTAAATTTTGAATTGTTATAAGTTGTGTGTGAGATGTGATGTTTGATATTTGACTAATTTGTATAGTTTATATAGTGTATTTTAATAATTTTAAACTTTTTTTGAAAAATTGATTGAAAATCATTCTAATTAAAATTTAAATAAATTTCAAAATCAAATATATAGAATTTTTTTTTTTGGAAAAGGCAAAGTCAAAAGGAGTGAGCAAACCACCACCAAGTCCCAAAATCAAATGCATAGAATGGGAAAATAAAAAAGCGAAGTATTTAGGTAGTGTTTTTCTCCACCCTTTATGTCATTAGTTATTTGGCTACTAAAAGCGAAGTTGGTCCTTGCAAGAGTCACAATTTGATTCATTTTGGTTTTGAAACTAATCAATTCCATGTGTTGCATTTGGCAGCAACGAAGTCTTATCTATATATCAATGGGGGTGTAGAGATTCCTAGAAAGATTAATTGTAAAGTATGAAGAAGATGACCATTCACCAAACCAAACCGTGACATGATCTAAGACATTATTGCCACCCCATTTCTTTAATCTCACATTCTCCTCCATGTAATTTTTTAATATTTTACTTCAACACATAGATCGTTTATGTATAACGTAACTAATTCTTTCTTTAATTTATTTAATAAAACGGATTGTTTTACAGGTCCTTTTATCCATACCAATTCATGCTTCCTTACGATGGTTCAGCTTGCTCCAACATTTTGGAACCCACATTGATTTTCCTTCTCTCGCCCTTAATTCCTTATGGACAACCAATCCCCAAACTGGGTTATGCTTTCGAACTATTAGGCCCGCCAAGGCCAAGCGACCCAAACAAAACTTGTCCTGTTTAAGAGTAAAAGCCCAATACATATTTCATTCAATAGTTAAAAAAAAGGAGAAAACTATAATTTTAAACTTTTATTTGATTGAGTTTTATTAGATATAGAACAATAGAGATACAAATAAGGATAGAATAGGAAGAAATAAAAGTTTATAATTACACACATACTCCATTAATAAAAAGTCTTTTGACTAGTAATGATAAAAACAAAATCATGAAGGTATAAATTTAAATTGAAATATTCAACAATATATTATCGTTATAAAGATATATGTGCAAATAACTGATAAAAACAACAAAATTAACCTCCTATAAATAAATATATCTCCTTTAAACAAATATCATGGCATAAAATAAACAAAAACATTAGTATTTTTTAATGAATTATAATTTTAGAAATATTTTGTGTAAATTATTTTATGGTTTGTAATTTGTTTGCAATATAAATAATTAGAAATTATTTACTAATTACTTCTCACATCATCTTCTGGTTCACCAAATTTTTAGGAGAATATGGGAGCCAATAGAACTCAACCAAGTTTGGTTTCAAAATTATCAACAGGATATATGTATTTCATACACCTTCAAGAATATAGAACATATGATTGATCATTTCAAGAAGAAAGTCATAGAAAATGAAACATTTAATTCCTTCAGAAATTAAAAGCTTCAATGCTCGTCAATTGTTTCAATTTACCACGATGAAGTCAAGTTTATGCTGTCACAATAGGTTTCTTGTTCAAAAAAAATTCCGATCTTGAGAGCAGGACCCACAATAGCTAGGTTTAATTTATCTTATTTGAGTTCAAATTAAGATTATTAAAGACGACAAATTCTCTATATATAAGTTTTAATTAACACACTTGTATTTCTAAAAATATAAACTAAAAACAATTAATTAAATTAAAGCAGCTGTCGCAAATAGCATTTGTTGTGTGTTCTGGCCGCACTAATACAAAAAGACTGTTTTACATCGTTATATTTATATCGGTCGTAGTAGAACCGATGTAAATTATAAATGCGGTGTAAATAAATAAAAAATACAAACATATTTTCCATCGATTTTGGTTATGACGTAAAAATAGAATCAGGAATTATTCTACATCGGTTTTTCTTATGACCGGTGTAGAAATAAAGCCTGTATGCGCGGCCCATGAACACCCGTGCCACTAAACCCTTTCACTCAGCAATGTTGGTAGCCGCCGCGAGCAACTACGGAGAGCGAACTCCGTTGAGAAAGTTCTGAGCCCTCTTCTCCCTTCTTTCGCGCACTCTTCTCCCTTCTTGTTCATCACCATTAATTGACTGACCCTAAGATTAGTAGGATGCCACATCTACTTGGACGACACCACTCACGTGTCCGAGGTATTCGTTCAGTTCGTCATGCATTGCACTGTGTTCAACCGGAACGAAAAATGCGGGTTTCTTTTTTCTGTATTCCTTTCAATTGCAATTGTTGTTGTGTCATTTTCGAAAGGATGCATAACCGTGTTTTGTCTTCATCGTATCGATTCTAGTTGTTGTAATAATAAGTACAGTTGGGGAATTGTAAAAGAGTTTGAAGTTTACGCTGAATTCTTGTTGCAGGAATCAAGCAGAGAAGTTCAAGCTGTAGTGAATTTTCTGAAATCGCAGGTTTGTTTCTGTTTTGAACTCAGTAACACTTGGTTTGCGAATCGATGATTCTCGTGCTTGATTGTTTGTCCTTGATTTCATGACGTGCCTTCCTGGTTTTGTGGATTTTAAATGTTGAAACTCTATGGCTGGTCTTTGTTTGGTGTAGGTTGTCTTCCAAGAATTGTGTGCGAGTCGGGTGGCAGTGCTTGCCCTTAAGAATCATAAGGTTTCTATCTTTTAACTTGGTGCTTTTCTAATTATTGTATCGGTTGTCGGGAGTACCAGCCTCTGCCCCGCCCCCCTCTTTTGAACTGTTTTGTTCGAATTGGTAATTTATGTGTATAAGAGTATAACACATATGAGGAAATAAATTACACTTAGAGAATATCAATATTCTTCTTTTCCAATTAGTTTCAGATGAGTGTAAAGTTGGAAAGATAAACTATCATATGTATATTCAAACTTAGCATCAGCTATTTTCCTTGATTCCATCATTACTTTTGGTTCTCATCCAGTTATCTGTTTTTTGTATGTTTATTTATTTTTTGCCTTCTTCCAGGTACCCACTATGGGCCAAATGATTACAATGTTGAAAAAACATAATATGTTTGAAGTACTTTATGGCTGGCTCCTTGCCAAGGCAGGTTTCTTTGAGAATCATATGTATCCTCCTTATTTGATTTTCAATTATTAATATTTTCCCTTTTCTTATTTATTAATGCTATACTTATCTTATACCTTCCTTTTTCTCTCCTTAAAATTCTGACAGATTGCTAGTAAGCTTGAGGTCCTTCCTGGCTCTGACTTTTGTGTGGGATATGAAGAAGCCATCAAGTATGGTGGCAGAGTAATACTTGGTGATCGCCCTGTACAGGTTGGATGAGATTTTCTTTTCAAAGCATTGGAGATATATTGGATTGTACTAAATTAGTTTAATTCATGTAATTTTTATTTTCAACATTTACTATTTTAATATGTCTGCTTTTTACTTGGTTTACTTGATGTTGAACCTTTTTGTTATGCATTAATGGGTTCTGATTTTGGTTGAGACAGATTACTATGAGGAGAACATGGAGCAAGATGCCACTTCAGCATAAGACAAAATTGTTATTCTCTTGTCTGTTTGGCATTTGTGGCTTCCTGTAATGTGATTTCACTTGCATCCTTATTCTCTAAATTCTCTATGAAGTGTGGTTCTACTGTCTTCTCTTTATCAACATGATAACTTAATTTTGTACCGCATTCTGCTATCACGTGTGCTTTTGATTGGTTGTCTACATGTTCTTCTTTTACTATGCTCATGTTGGCCTTGGTTTCAGGTTGACCAGGTTCCTGATTGAATATATACAATATAAGAATGAAATTTGTTAGACAAATTCAGATCATAAATGATTTTTTTGATGTGTTTGTCTAAACTTTTTTTAAAATAAACAATTTTCTACAGTTTTTAAGAAGCAACTCCTATCTACTTCTTAAAGAATTGTTTTATTTTTAAAACACTTGTTTAGAAACACTTATTATTACTTACTAAACAAGATTGGAATGAAACAAGATACAAATTTTAAAAAGTTGCTTTGATTCCTCACTTCTCCTTGTTATAAAAAAGAGACATCAACTCAATCCCAAGAGGAGTAAAGGCCTCAACACTCAACACCTTTTAGACTTGGAGTTTATAGTAGTATTTCCTATGAAAGAAGTGACACGTTGATGGTGAACTCTGTTTACACTTCGCAGGGTCTCTGTGGACAACACTACATGCCATAATTGTACACTGATCAAGGTATAATTTCTCAAAATAATTAGTTAGAACTTTTTTCCATGACCTTCTTGCAAGTCGTGGTTTGTGATTAATTTAGCTATCTAGCTTCTTAGGAGGCTCAGCTTATGTGATATTTAAAGATTCTTTAACCTAGAGTTTTGATTTTCATTTATTTTTAAATTATATTAGATTTCATAATTTTCATTAGTCCTCAGTGATTTAAACCTATGGTCAAAACTTCAGTCAAACTTGATTTTACTTTAAAATCATGATCAATCCACTTAAGGATGATACCACTTTTTGGATAGCCTGTGGTTTGTCTCATTGCCAAGCTCTGCAGAAATCCTTTTTTGGAAATATTTCGTTCTGTTCTACTTTTTAAGTTCATGTAGTAGTTACAAAATTTTATCTGAAAATTAAACAGACAAAAAAACATTGTTAAAATTTTATCCACTTAATCCGTATAGATTTCTTTGTTCCTTGTAAATGATGTATACCATAAGGATTCCCACTGCATTATCATCACAGTATCATTTTTCGTGGTTCTTGAAAGAATCATTTATTTGGAGATTAGTGGATGCAATATGCAACTGTAATATTATCCTCTACTGATGGATTTTTATTATCCCCCCAAAAATAACAGGTTGATAGTGTTAACAAACCTGAAATTCTGCTGGAAGTCGTGCAAATCTTGACAGACCTTGACTTCATAATTACCAAAGCATACATATCTTCTAATCGGGGATGGTTTATGGATGGTATGTTTGTGAGTGAATTGAACTTTTATTTGAAATGCATTAATAACTACGCAGATGTGCCCTGTTCATGCTTGTTATTAGCCTAATTGAAAACGGGTAACTAAGAAAAACATTGGCTGCTATCAAGTTTCTCTATGTTACCGACATTTTTTCTCTCGAATATATGATTGTATCCATGAGAGCATGAAGTGTTTTTCGGTTTCCCCCCCTTTCTTGTGCCTTTGTAGTCTTTAAACCTTTTTCTCCCATTAGGTGTCAAAACTTTTTTAATTCATGTATAAAAATTTCGAGAACTAAAGATGAATAAAATTTATACGGAGACTAAAAATGAAAATTGACAAAAGTTCACAGACTAAACACATCAGTAAAATAGGATTCCATGAGTCTTCCACGTGATGCAAAGCTCGGCAGTCAAATAGGTGGACCATTCTATGTAATGGCCTAATCAGGCTAGCTAGCATCATTCTTTAGATTAGCATCCCCTTGTATTATGATGTTTATAGTGTGAAGTATTCAAAGAATCATACCACTTGACAAAAAGCCGTATTATGCAATTTTTTTTGTTACTAATTATATTAAAAACTAATAGATTAATTTGGTGAAATTATTTTAGGAAGGAATCTGAAATTAAAACTTTGCTTCTAACTTGTACAGCTGAATTTTACCTCATAACATCAGTAAATTGGTAGATTTCTCTTTTATGACTTTATATAATAACTCATTATAATCTTCGCCTGTTACTTTATATAATTTCATGCACATTTTCAAAAATCTGGCAGAGAATTATATATGTGTTTATTACAGGTTAAATTAGAAAGAACCTAAAATCAAACAATTTTTTTTTAAAAAAAATTAATAATCTACATCGGTTCAGACAGGAACAGATGTAAATGAGAGTATAATTTTACATCGGTTATACACAGAACCGATGTAAAATTATACACAAATTTACATCTCTTCATTCTACATCGATTTTAGAACCGACGTAGAATAGTCAAAAGAACCAATGTAAAATGTTGTTACTGTAGTAGTGCCGGCCGGAACCTTAAGGTTTGAAAGGGTTTGATTATCAATTTCATGTAGATCAATGATATCATAACACGAGTGTATTATTTTATCCTTCTCACAATTGAAGTGACATCTATTTTAAGAATACTTAGGTTCAATGAACCCCCACTCTTTTGAACTGTTGTGACAGTACAAGTGGGAAAGAAATCATAAGGGTAGGGGTAATGTGGGTATGTTGTTGAAAATAAATTAAGGACAAGTGAGAAAAAAAATGGTGTAGAATGATGAGAAACAGCATCATGTTTACACGTAAATAAATAAATCTTAAATACACCTTGTGACCTTACTTGCAGTAATATCGGTGAAGATGTAGTTTAATAATTGTAACAGCCTGATTTCTTGTGACCAAACTAACAAGTATATGAACCACTAGGATTACAGCTAGTGGTGGATTTAGGACCTTTGAGTTGGTGGAAGCAACTTATAAAGATATTATTAATGTACTATCCATACTGCCATGCCGAGCTCGAGCTCGGTATCACAGCGTGGAATAACCTCGGGCACGCACTGGGAGATCTCGGCCTAAGCGAGATCCGCAATCTAATTAGATCATAACTGATCTCGGAGATCTCGCTCCAGATGAGATCCGCAATCTAATCAGATCATAACTGATCTCGAAGATCTCGCTCAAGATGAGGTCCGCAATCTAATTAGATCATAACTGATCTCGGGGATCTCGCTCCAGACGAGATCTACTATCTAATCAGATCATAACAGATCTCAGGCCCAAGGCCCAACACAACCCTAATTCACACAAAGGTACGTGCATTATTTATCCGAGACTCATACTCCCACAAACACTAACTTGAGCATCGGAGTCTCTTTTGCAGGTACCACCCCCATCTTGGAGCATCAGCTTACCAGTGGAGGAGGCTCACTAATCTTACTTGGAAGATCGTCCCTATGACAAATTCCGGTAAGAACAATTAATATTAGATAAAGAAGAAGAAAAAGACTTAAGAGTAGCTCCAACGATATTTTTTTATTACAAAAACAGTAGTAAAATCTGTAAAAGTTGAATTTGTGTGGGGCAATACGTCTTTGATTCCATTATGAGAAACAGGGTGCAAGGAAGAGCACAGCTCTTCAAAAAAATTGTGAGCCCATGATATGAAATATAATATCAAAATATATTATTATAAATAAAAAAGTTCACGCATTTTAACACGAATAATAAAATATAAAAAATAAATATATTATGAAATTCATTTGAAAAACTTTAGTGACTTGGTTTATGTAAAAAGTTGATTGAGATATTATTAAAATATTAGCTTAAAAAAAGATAAAAATTAAGATGGAATATATGTGTTATCCTCAAAATAGGAATGCAAATGCACTCTTTCAATGGTGGTTAAGTTTGAACAAGTAACTAGTTGTTAATCTATGTGGATGAGAAATAAGTTGTGTCAGAGTATTTGCAAGCAACTCCTAATATCATATTACTGTCAAATTAGTTCTGACCTACTTTATAAGTTGTTTAAATTTTAGTAGAAACAATTTTGCTAAAATTTAAGCAACTTATAAAATGAGGCAGAATTAATTTAGCAGTGATGTGGCCAGTGTTTTAAAACCCGGACCGACCCGGCCGGTCGGACCGGTTGGACCGGGAACTGGTGGTCCAGCCGGTCCGAATCTGAAGTTGGATCGGTTATGCAGTCGACCCGTTTCAAACCAGATTGAACCGGTCAATTTTCCGGTTCAACCGGTGAACCGGTGGGTCAAACCGGTTCAACCACTTTTTTTTTTATTTTTTTTTTTAATTTTTTTAAGAGACCATAAATCACAAAAATAATAATGAAAATTGAATCTCTTAATGAAAAAGCAAGGAGTCTTATTAAATATAACAATGATTACTTGTTCTAATATATTTGTTTGCAATATATACAACTTAAATAACTTTTATAGTATATTATTAATTTTAAATTATATATTTAATAATGCAATATCTATGTAAATATTACATATATTATTTTGTGATATTAATTGCAAGCATATTATATATGTACATATTATTTATATTTTTAATTTGTATTAATATACCGTTTAACATGTAATTTTTTTATGTATTTTTTTACAAAATAAAAATAAAAATAATTTTAAATAAGATAGAAAATTTAAATTTAAAATAAGATATGAATTTATTAAAATTTATAAGTATAAATATATTTAATATGAATATTTTTTAATAAAAATAAATAAAAATCGAGTCATGCAGTTCAACCAGTGACCCACCGGTTCAACCTTTGACCCACTGACCCAATACCTTAACCGGTTTGATGACCGGTCCGGTTTTTAAAACTATGGATGTGGCACAGGGATTGGGTTGCTTAGAGCATCTGCAATGGGAGTCGCTTATAAGCAACTCCCTGTGGCAGTGATGTGGCACAGAGGGTTGCTTATAAGCAACTTCCATTGCAGATGCTCTTATAAGTAACCTCGTTAGAGATGCTCTCATTAAATTGTAAATAAGAAGAAATGCCAAGTCGGATCTGAGCTGTAAGTAATGTCACTGCCACGTATTAATTTTGGTCTGAATGATGTCATGTAAATTCCTCGTTTTTGTAAACTAATAATTAATACATGCAATTGCAACCTAGTTGCTCACTTTTTCTTTTTAAAAATCTGTTTAATCATTCCAACATGCAAAGACATTGAAGGATTAAAGTGAAATGAAAATGCAAATGCATGCACCAACAGGCGCCACTAGAAAGCGTCACGTGTGCCTACGCTGTACTGGATCATTCATCCATTTTTCTTCTCACGTGAACGGTGAACCCCATCTTCCGCATGCCACGTAGCTCATTTCACCACTCACGACACCAGATTTTTCTCATACGCCCCTTGCATCACTCCATCTACACCACCCAATCATACGACTCTCAATTTGGAACTATCTAATATTCTGGGCTCCACAAATCGCTATACTTTCTACGTGTGCCAACTCTCTCTCTCTCTCTCTTTTTTTTTTATTTTTTTAATATATATATTTTTTTATAACGAAGCAAGAAGACAAACCTAAAAAATAACTTACAAATTTTCGGCCACAAAAATAAGACTCCTATTGAGGCAAGTAAAATGTTCCTATGCCATCAATTACTAACATTGTATTATTGATATATATAAAAGTTACTACAATTTAAAATAAATATAAGTACAATATTAATTTAAAAATAAAATATTTATGTCATTCAATCAATAATGCGAGATATTTCTGTTTTTTTTTTTAATCTTAAAAATAGTTTAGTATAATGAAGCTGCTTAATTGTAAAACTCATCTTGATTGTGACACAAGAAAAATCTTTGATAATTGGTGCACTTTTATATAATGAAAAGTTGTCATGGAAAGACATGTTTATTGTAATAGTATCGTTATATCACAACGAGTGATGCTTAACTTTTTGATTAGCCGACCTTTTAACCACATAAAAGTGTAAAGAGACAAGAGCACATCAAAGCATGTAATTGTATGTGTGATGTTAGCATCACCATGTAAGATATGTCCACTCGATAATTTGTTGTACTCGTAGCAGCAAATCTCATGAGAAAAATAAAAAAAAATATTGCAGTGGCTAGATTGATTGCATGGTATTAAATTATGCATCAATAATGGCAATAGTTCCTAACAATTTGGGCACCCACAGCTGACACAGCTTTACGTGTGATTACCAATTTATCATTATCCTGTTGCTATAAATACCCTTCCCTCCCTTCTTCTATTTCACGTCCTCTGGAACAAACAAAACAACAGTAGTGGGGTTGTGGTGTTGTGCTGCAATTTCCTTTGACACTGTTGATTTGAATTGAATCCATTTGAGCAAGAATAAAAAGATGACTGTGGGAGCAGGTATATCTGTTGCAGATGGCAAGTTGATGGTGTTGGGGAAGAAGGTGCTGAGTGAGGTCCATGATAACATTCTTGTAACCCCTGCTTCTGGGGGTGCTTTGCTCAATGGGGCTTTCATTGGAGTTGCGTCCCATCACAAGGGTAGCCGCAAAGTTTTCCCAATTGGCAAACTTGAGTATGTACACTTTAAAAATCCTTTTTTATTCTTAATCTTTTGTTGTTAATGTAATTGTGTAAATTGTGAAGTAGAATAGTTGTAATAGAACATGAGGTCAAAGTGTTCATTTTGTGTTTTTTGGGTGAATGCTGTGTTTTTGGTGTTGCTTGTCAGTTGTCACAATCAGGAAGTGCATGTGCATGGACTTGATTGCTTTTGAGGTTTTTTATGGGTGTTGATGCACAGTAATTAATGTTTAAGTTTAAGGTAACTGTGATTCTGATACAAAGATGATTTTTTTGTTTTTGGTTTCAGGGGGTTGCGGTTTATGTGTGTTTTCCGGTTCAAGATGTGGTGGATGACGCAGAGAATGGGCTCTTGTGGACAAGAAGTCCCCATTGAGACACAGTTCTTGCTTGTTGAATCAAACAGTGGCTCTGATATTGATGGAGGAGAGGATCATGCTACCTATACTGTTTTCTTGCCCCTTCTGGAGGGAGATTTCAGGGCAGTTCTTCAGGGGAATGATCAAAACGAGATTGAGATCTGTGTGGAAAGTGGTATGAAGAATAAAGATTGATTACTGTATTCACATATATGTGGTGACTTTTGCTGTTGTTCAATTGAAGAAATTTGTATCTGATTTGCAGGTTGTCCTGCTGTGGAGGAATTTGATGGGACTCATCTGGTATTTGTTGGGGCTGGATCAGATCCTTATGAAGTCATAACAAATGCTGTCAAGTAAGTTAAAACCTTTCAATAACTTTCACCTGTGTTTTCCCTAATTTTTAGTTTATACCAGTCATCGAACTCTATATGCTTGGGATGATTCCCTTTACTTGGTTATTACAAAAATTGGATTTTAAATTCTATTAATTACTATCAGGATCCAGCTTTAAAGTTTAATCTCCTGAAGTGTAATATACAAGTTATTGATTTTATTTTATTTGTAATTCTGTTCAGGACTGTTGAGAAACATTTACAGACCTTTGCTCACCGCGAGCGAAAGAAGGTACATATTTCTTCTCCCTGCCTAAAATATTTAGGGTCATGTTCATTACCTCTAATTTTTCATTTTTATTTCACCCACTTGTATTCAGATGCCAGATATGTTGAACTGGTTTGGATGGTGTACATGGGATGCTTTCTACACTAATGTGACTTCAGAGAATGTGAAGCAAGGATTACAAAGGTGTTACTTCTTTCTATGGACAACGATCATTGACATGAGATATATGCATCACATAGACATTAATTTGTGTCTGTCACATTTTTTTTTAATCTTTTTGCAGCTTTGAGAAAGGTGGAATTCCTGCTAAGTTTGTAATAATTGATGATGGATGGCAATCTGTTGGCATGGACCCTAATGGTATTGAATGGAAATCTGATACTTCAGCCAAGTGGGTACTTTTCTAAGTTTCATTATCAGATTGTAGTTCCATCCATTTTACAATGTTGAATAAGCAAGTCACTTTCTTGCTTTAACAGCTTTGCAAATCGCTTAACAAACATCAAAGAGAATCACAAGTTCCAGAAAGATGGCAAGGAAGGTCAGCGGGTAGAGGACCCAGCTCTGGGAATAAGGCATATTACTAATGAAATCAAACTAGAGCATGATATAAAGTATGCCATTTTCATATATTATTTCTTTTGTTTCTTCATAGGGTTTTCTCTTTTCAAGTACTCATGGTCTTTGAAAAATTTACCCCTTGAGTTTACAGGTACGTATATGTGTGGCATGCAATAACAGGATATTGGGGTGGTGTTAAACCCGGGGTTTCAGGTATGGAGCACTATGAGTCAAAGATGGCCTTCCCTGTCTCATCTCCTGGAGTTGACTCGAATCAACCAGATGAAGCTTTGACAACCATTGCCATGAATGGACTTGGCCTAGTGAATCCTGAGAAAGTTTTTCACTTTTATGATGAACTCCATTCATATTTGGCATCCGCTGGTATTGATGGTGTCAAAGTTGATGTTCAGAATATCCTTGAAACTCTTGGAGCAGGACATGGTGGGAGGGTGAAACTTGCAAGGAAATACCACCAGGCATTAGAGGCATCAATCTCTAGAAACTTCCCTGATAATGGAATCATTTGTTGCATGAGTCACAACACAGATGGATTGTACAGGTGT